CCCAAGCATAAAATTATATTAAATATCCTCAAGCCAGGCATCCTCCTTGATGACGTTTGGTAGTAAAACCATAATGCAAGTACCAAAGTTTTTCTTCTCAAGAACACCACTAAATACATTGTTAGCATCATCATCATGCTCCTCCTTGCTCAAGTACAGATGATCCAATGATATGCATTGTAGAAGTCCATGGTAATTTCTTTGAGAAAGTAAAACATAGAAAGAATCATTAGAACTACCTCATTCACGGGCTTATTTCTATCCGCATATCAGAAATAGCATACAAAGTGTCGTCAGTCCAGGAATTATACCTTCATAGCACAGAGTAATCTATAATACATTTGCCTCATAATACACCACAAAATACATTCTCATATCATCATGCTCCTCCACTCCCAAGCAATCCGTCCTCAATTCCTTTCTTAGCATAGGAGAGATCCCCTTCACCAGCATCTCCTGATCACACTTTCTCACCAACTACGCCATCCCCTTCTACACAAATGCATCAATCATCGCATTACAAGAAAACACATTAGGACTCCATTCTCCTCCCTCTTCCTCCAAATCATGAATACTGGCCTCGGAAACCCACACCTCCCAAACTTCCTCGTCAACATCACATAAATATCCATCGTCTGCCTAACCCTACTTTCAATCATCCTCTCAAACAAGCATAAAATCTCCTTCGGCCTCACACAATACAGGAAAAAACAATGATAACTAATCACGTTAGGCTCCTTCATCCGATAGAAACACCCATGCCCTCATTCAACCTCCCCTCTCTACACATCATCTTCATAATAGTATTAGACAATGTTACATTAAACGCTGGGCGCTTCTAGGCGACGGACTTGGCGCCTAGCGCTTAGACGCCTAGGCGGGCGCCTAAGCGGTTTCTGGGCGATTTTTTTTTTAATTGCGATACTTGAAGATATATATATATATATATAATAGTCAATCAAAGATGCATACATACTAGATAGCAAGGCATATAATATCCCATATCTAGAAGTTTAGGTCGCAAAATATCAGCAAAAAGACAGTCAAACAGAAATAGTCTAGACTCTAATATAATGAATTAACAATATGCATCTAATATAATCTCATCATCAATCATCATCATCATGAAGTTCCTCCTATACTTCATCATCGCTATCATCCCCAGAATCCATCTCCATACAATCCTCCTCGTCTGAAACATCATCATCTGAGACAAGAGACTCTTCTTCATCATCCATCTCTGAAGTAGAAGCACTTGAAGGTCCTGCTAGCCTAGAACTCCTCCTAATCTCCGCAGCCTCAGCCGCTCCCGATATAGCCTCTACCATCCTCCAAGTAAGGCCTGAGCCTGGATGAACTTCTTCCTCATCCGATAGAGTAATCCATAATGCGTTTTCCTCACAAAACACCACTAAATGCATTTTCATCATCATTATGCTCCTCTCCCAATAGAGAGTAATCCATAATTAGATGTCTATAAATTTTAATTTATCTTGGCCCTCTATTCATTTAGACCATTGCTTTCTTTCATATATATTTTCCTTAAGGTC